ACCGCCATCATATGGCTGGAATATTGCAGAGTGCAGCGTTAAACAAACAAACAAACAAACCATTGGTAATAGTACACGTTTCTGTGGTAGGCTCCGACCACGGTTGTGTTCATTTTCAGCAGCCATCGTGACTTCTGACAAGCTTAGGGCACTAGGGCCTCATTCTGCCCTGTTGTCCCCATGGGAGCAGCCAGACAGGAATACAGATCATGCACCCTGACAGTTTCTATGCATAACCTAGCTTTTCATATACATAAACAATTCAAAGTCTACAGCTCTGTTCCAGAATTTGTGGCATAACCATTCAAAGTTGTCCGTCAGAATAAGGTTTCTATGAATCATTAAATTCTTCATCAGTGGCAGAACGGGTTCATGGGGTTCCAAACCCTTCTTGAAAATGACATAATATAAGATTGGACCTGATGGAAATACTTTTGTTTTATTTTTATCGGAATACAATACAAATGTAACGGCCATGTGACATGACCCACAGCCCTCCCCCACCCAACTGAAAGTAACACACACACACACACTCACTCTCTCTTTCTCTCTCTCTCAACCTCTCTCTCTCTCTACCTCTCTCTCTCTCTCAACCTCTCTCTCTCTCAACCTCTCTCTCTCTCTCTCTCTCAACCTCTCTCTCTCTCTCAACCTCTCTCTCTCTCTCTCAACCTCTCTCTCTCTCTCAACCTCTCTCTCTCTCTCAACCTCTCTCTCTCTCTCTCAACCTCTCTCTCTCTCTCTCAACCTCTCTCTCTCTCTCAACCTCTCTCTCTCTCTCTCAACCTCTCTCTCTCAACCTCTCTCTCTCTCTCTCTCTCTCAACCTCTCTCTCTCTCTCTCTCTCTCAACCTCCCACCCTACCTGCCTCCATACACTACATCCACAATCAATAACAGAAACTATATATTCTTCATAGAGGCAACTATAATTAATCTATCAAGAAACAGACGATGACATGGGACCATGTATAGCCGAAAGGTTACAGCATATTGTGACATCAACGAAGGGTTATCATAACACAGACAGACTGAGGGCCCTATGAAGTTGTGATATATGTATCAGAGGATTTCCCACACGTCTCATTTACCCTGATCAAATAACATAAAAAGGTTACAACCGACACACCAACCAATCAGTTTTTACTATTACCCTTCTGTTCAAAGATGAGAAAAGCCTGATGACATATGTATCCAATATTATTCATAATGTACCCAATGACCTCTATGAAGTGGGCACAGCGTATACCACAACAGAGCTATGCTTCCCATCATGCTCCAGTGTGAAAATGGAACAGACAGACTCGTGTTGCTTGTTGTGATGATATATAGGTGCCCGATAATCAGGAGGACCCCTCGGGACCCAAGACAACATTGGTTTATTGCCAGAAACTTTCACAGACATCTTAGGAAATGAATCTATTTCTTCCAAATCCCTGGACTCGCCGCTAGAACTCTAGGATATCATCTCCCAGTCCATGTGTTATATAGATCCACCACTCTAAATACACTTTGTTGACTAAACAAACCCTAATTTCAAGAAAATACCCTCTAATCATATTTTGGTTGGAAAAATGTCATCTCCATTTAGAAGATCAGACACGAACGCGATATATTCTACCTGCCGACTTCCCCTGAATGTCCAGACGTTCCATCTTCACAGAGTAAACACAGACTACATACATCACTTGGAGTGGCTCTTGCACCGCAATACAGAGAACCCATCTTCCTGAGGGCTTAGCCAGGGGCTTGGTATTACTCCTCCAGTCTTTCAATCAAAAATAATGGCAGCCTCAGGCCTTTCAACTTTGCCCATCAACTTACCAAGTTGTCTGTTCCTAGAGAATACTTTCAAGATAAACTGTCTCAAAAACTTCCTCTGGGTGTCGTAAGAACAGCATTGTAACCACTCTGATTAGAACCCATAGGAAAACAACCAGTGCAAGACTGGATCAATTCTCCCTTTCTGGCGGAAAAACTGTGGCAAAGACTCCGAATGACCCTCCATCCTTGCCAGATATCTTTATCTACGTCAAACAGACTATTTTCACTCTATCCCATTGCTTTGAAACTCTCTTAAGTGTCTTTTATGGCCTCAATCTGAAAGACCGTTTATTCCATCCGGAAGCGGCAAATACATCCAGATGAAACTGCAATCCCAGAGCCTATTATCAAATGAAAAAGTTCCAACCACAAAGGATTGTGTAAACTTTGGTAGGACACCTAATTAAGCCAACCAACGATCTCAAGCTTCTCCTATTACAAGGTGATGACTCCAATGAACAATAGGATAGATTTCCTCCATTTGTAGATGTATCGCAATTTCAGTTGCAGGATATCTGTCCCTTGTCAATATTAAATCATCCAATTTCGCCATGGGTAATTGACGGTAGGTCACAGCAGCTGTACACTTTCTTCATGCATCTGACTTTACTTGAGGGAGGTGCTATGATAACATTCCTTCATTCAAGAATATTTCACATGTTGAAAAACTTTCAATGGAAAAGATCTGGTTGAAACGATTTTGAATTTTTGGGGAATACTATTTATCATTTGTTAATTATAAAGATGTATGTTTCTATTTTTTAAACCCAACTAAAAAATAATTTTTTTGATTATAGCTACAAAAATAGAATTTCTTTTTTCAATGTCACTGATGGAAAAATATAGGTAAATGTCTAAAATCTCAGTTGGGATATTGTCATATTCTTTTTCCAAATCGTTTGATTCCATTTTGTAGGTGTAGTTCCTACAGTGTATTGAAGGCAACAAAATGGGAGATGTCTAATTTTCTAATACATTTCCCTGAAAAATATAATAACTACAAAAATAAGATTTTTTTGTTAATTGCCAAAAAATGTTTTCAAGCCTACCATGTGCAAGGGAAATAAAGAAACCAACGTAGGCTCAACTTTTGATACACTTTATAGCCCACAGTTCACCTGCATTTCTGTGGGTTATCATTTGTATTTTATTTCAAGAGCTTTTTTACTGAAAATAGCATTAAATTAAGCCTGAAAACATTTAAATTTTTTATTTTTAATTTAAAAATTATTTTTCTCATGTATCTCTGCCTGTTGACTTTGAATATCTGTAACACAAGAAAATACATCGGTCTGGCCATACATAAATATTAACCACTCAAATTGTCAAACAGATTGTGTCAACCAATCATATGTTCCTTAATACAATGTGACAGTAATGCATAGAATTCCTACTTGTAATTGTAATGGTTGACAATGGTCATTTCAGTACTACTCACATTTAATAATTTATAATAATTAATTTCAACAAGTTCACAAAGTAATCTTATCCTGAAACTGAAAATATAAATTAAAAATGTGGCACACACATCCCACTGAAGTTGGTGATAACAGGTGAACAATGGATCTGTGGTCAGGCTCGGTGACTTGGTTGATTACCATTGCGTGTTGCCATACCCCACTGGCAGGGATTGTGCTCATAATATCGATGGATTGTCTGGACCAGACTCGATTATTTTACAGGCTGCCGTTATATAGCTGGAATATTGACGAGAGTGGCATCAAACAAGAAATCAACCAATCTAACATGAGGTAACATAATTGCTGGGATCCATTATGAAAATAAGAGTCTACTGGTTTTGAAAATGTAGTGCAACTGCTAATATATTGAATGGTTTGTAAAGTCTCAATTGATAAATACACTTCTGAAATCATGAGGCAAATTTTAAAATTTATCAAGATGAATGTTGGCAAACATCGTACAGACTTGCATGCAAAACAAATAGCTTCTACTTTTTAGCTTTTATAGAATTGATGAAGTGGGTTTATTTTCAGTTCCCATATCTAATTACATGTGACAAGTCGCCTTTGATTTATTCCAGATGCCTTAAACAGATGTGATATGTGATAACACAAGCTGGCATCAGCATGACATCCTCATATCATAATGGTATTAATACCACACATACCAGAAACACTCATCTAACACATGCCACATGAGATATTTTTGGGCGAGACTTCATCAAATGGAAAGTCCTCGAGATCCTGTTCAAGAAAATATCGATGTGCTGTCTTTAATTCCATAACATGTGACTCGGGGATAGAAAGTGAGTGAGTGAGTTTGTTGTTGCACTCAGCAATATTCAAGCTAATTGACCGCAGTTTGTAAATAATTGAATCTGGACAATCCAGTGACTAACATCATGAGCATCGATCCACGTGATTGGGATCGATGACATGCACTCGATCCCATTGGTTGCCTCTTACGACAAGCATAGTCGCCTTTTACGGCAAGCATGGTTTGCTGAAGACCTATTCTACCTCTGATCTTCACGGGTCGTGGGATAGAAAGAGCGACTGTGAAAGATATAATCAAGTCCGGGCCTGGCAACCCAGTGGTTGATAGTATGAGCATCAATAGATTGGGCACGAGCCAGACCACACACATGGGTCTACATGTAACTATAAAGAAATATAAGTCATTGGCAAGATTTTGATGTTCATCCCATGATCTGTGAAAGGAGAGTGGGCGAAACACAAAAACTCAAAACAATTGTGTAAAATGAGTAATATCCAAACTATCAAGGATGAATATCCCTTTTTCATTGTATGACCATTTTAGTCCACAGTGAGGAAAACATATTTTCCTGTATATTACTTTAATGATCAAAATATTGTGAAATCTTGACATGTGTTGAACAGTCTACATAAATTTACAACACAAAACATGTCCATTTCTGTATACCACACACTGTTATAAAGGACGGAGTTTGTACATAATAGATGACATGGTGTGCAACACTTCTGTGATAGGTACATTAGGCCTGGGGCCCCTTAAGAGTTTGAAAGATTTATTGATGGTTATAATAGAAAATTGTTTTACAAATTGATAATGAGCAACATTTATATAAGGTTCATGCCTGCAGTAAATTGTTGTTGTTGTTTTACATAACAGTCATGCGAAGTAATGAAACTAGTGAATTCAGTTCTATATGGATTCCTCTTAATCTTTGCGAAGATGGCCTGTGAGATTGAGGTGGGCTGACTGATGTCTTGAGTTGTGCTGACACAAAAAGTTAAAAAACCTCAGCAAAATATTGCAAAAGTGTGAAGATACAAGTCATCATCTATACTATTGCTTATATCATTCCCCACCTTCTAGAAATCCATTCTAAGCATGTGAACTCCTTCCACCAACAATCCATTTTACCTTCACCAACTGACTTTTCGTTGAAGTACCAAACTTATAACTCCAGAAAAGGCTGTCTCAGAACAAACATAAATCTCATTTATTTGCAACATAAGCACATTCGTATCTTTTGTTTGATTTACCAGCTAAACACACTGACAACGCCAGACATTTCTTCCACTGGGCATCAATTACAATGGCTACAGTGGAATTATTCCATGGCAAACGCAGATCCAACTCTGCCACATTGTCCACTGACGGTTCATATATTGGCTTGTGGATGTAAGTAGCTGACATTAACAAGAAATGGCAAGAGTCAAATTCAACATGAAACAGACATGAAACTGACACTGTGAGGCAGAGGAAGGAGAAGGTAGGCATCTGTGCTTGTTGAGGACTCACACATGTGTTCCAGACATGTCACCACCACTTTCAGTACCAGACATCTCACCACCACCTTCAGTCTCAGTACCAGATGTCTCACCACCACCTTCAGTACCAGACATCTCACCACCACCTTCAGTACAAGACATCTCACCACCACCTTCAGTCTCAGTACCAGATGTCTCACCACCACCTTCAGTCTCAGTACCAGACTTCTCATCACAACCTTCAGTCTCAGTACCAGACATCTCACCACCACCTTCAGTCTCAGTACCAGACGTCTCACCACCACCTTCAGTACCAGACATCTCACCACAACCTTCAGTCTCAGTACCACACATCTCACCACCCCCTTCAGTCTCAGTACCAGATGTCTCACCACCACCTTCAGTCTCAGTACCAGACATCTCACCACCACCTTCAGTACCAGACATCTCACCACCACCTTCAGTCTCAGGAGCAGACATCTCACCACCACCTTCAGTACCAGATGTCTCACCAGCACCTTCAGTCTCAGTACCAGACATCTCACCACCACCTTCAGTACCAGACATCTCACCACCATCTTCAGTACCAGACATCTCACCACCACCTTCAGTACCAGACATCTCACCACCACCTTCAGTCTCAGTACCAGACATCTCACCACCACCTTCAGTACAAGACATCTCACCACCTTCAGTACCAGACATCTCACCACCACCTTCAGTCTCAGTACCAGACATCTCACCACCACCTTCAGTACCAGACATCTCACCACCACCTTCAGTCTCAGGAGCAGACATCTCACCACCACACCACCTTCAGTACCAGACATCTCACCACCACCTTCAGTCTCAGTACCAGACATCTCACCACCACCTTCAGTCTCAGGAGCAGACATCTCACCACCACCTTCAGTCTCAGGACCAGACATCTCACCATCGCCTCCAGTACCAGACATCTCACCACCACCTTCAGTCTCAGACATCTCACCACCACCTTCAGTCTCAGGAGCAGACATCTCACCACCACCTTCAGTCTCAGGACCAGACATCTCACCACCACCTTCAGTCTCAGTACCAGACATCTCACCACCACCTTCAGTCTCAGACATCTCACCACCACCTTCAGTACCAGACATCTCACCACCACCTTCAGTCTCAGACATCTCACCACCACCTTCAGTACCAGGCATCTCACCACCACCTTCAGTCTCAGTACCAGACATCTCACCACCACCTTCAGTCTCAGACATCTCACCACCACCTTCAGTCACAGTACCAGACATCTCACTGCCACCTCAAGCACATGTCATCTCAGCTACCATTAATCACAGCACCATCAGAACACATGAACTTCAGGATCTCATTTGTAAATCTTACAGTAGAACACATGCACTGCTCAACTCCTGTTGTGATGTCTACAGTAGAACACTTATTGCTTGGCTTCTGTGGACTCTCAAAGAGAATAGAACTGCCAACTGCAGGAATGGCAATGTGAACTTCTCTTGATAAGGTAAAAACTTAATTATCTTCAAAACACTTCCAAAACAAATCATCAAAAAACTAAAGGAGACAAAACTCTTTTTAGGTTTCCTGGAACCAGTAAATGAGTCAGAAGGTTTTTATGTTGCAAAACCAATCTTTCATCTAATTGTATATGCAGCATAATGCGTTAACAGGGCTTGGAAAACAAAACTTGAAAATAAGACTGGACACACTGTCAGCATCCCTCCACCATTATCATAGCTTACAAGCTGCAGAACACAAAGTTTTCTAATGGTATTACAACATGACATATATATCACAATGGGCTTTAAAAAACATATTGTTTCATGTCAGTGTGATAGTCATATATTTCTTCAAAAGTTAAGTTCTCCTCCATCTTGTTTTTTTTTTCATGTAAGTTGTATTGAGATATGTATGACATTACCACAGTCTGACTGTAGTGTATTTTAAAGTCTGACATTTTGAAATCATTTCCACAAAAGTACACATCTGTGTTGCCATGATGACTGTCTGACGGCTGGTTCTAACAAGTCTGTAAATCCCAGAAATATTCTCATTTCCCAGAATTCATTTCTAAGCATGAACTTTTTTCTATCCTACTGTTGTCCGAGACAGAAATGATGACTCTCTCTATCATAAGAAACACTTACGCTCTAAATAGGAAATGATTCAGATCCATACAAGGATGTCAAGAAATGATTCAGCTCCATACAAGGACGTTCAAAAATGATTCAGCTCCATACAAGGATGTCAAGAAATGATTCAGCTCCATACAAGGACGTTAAGAAATGATTAAGCTCCATACAAGGATGTCAAGAAATGATTCAGCTCCATACAAGGACATTAAGAAATGATTCAGCTCCATACAAGGACGTTAAGAAATGATTCAGCTCCATACAAGGATGTCAAGAAATGATTCAGCTCCATACAAGGACATTAAGAAATGATTCAGCTCCATGCAAGGATGTCAAGAAATGATTCAGCTCCATACAAGGATGTCAAGAAATGATTCAGCTCCATGCAAGGATGTCAAAAAATGATTCAGCTCCATGCAAGGATGTCAAGAAATGATTCAGCTCCATACAAGGATGTCAAGAAATGATTCAGCTTCTTACAAGGATGTCAAGAAATGATTCAGCTCCATACAAGGGATTACTGTTGTCTATTATCGTTTCATAGTCACAAGGGTGGTTGGGTAGCCTATAGTGGTTAAAGCATTCGCTCATCATGCCAAAGACCCAGGTTCGATTCCTGACATTGGTACAATGTGTGAAGCCCATTTCTGGTGTCCCCCGCCATGATATTGCTGGAATATTAATTAAAGTGGCATAAACCCTACTCACTCACTCACTCACTCACTCACTCACTCACTCATTGTCAACATTGTTCTCATTATATTTTGTTATTATTGTTATCATTATTGTTGTATAATTATGATTGTAACACATTTTCCATACAGTGTCCACACAGTATGTGATATTATCTAAGATTGGTTTTGAGCCATTAACTATAAATATACATTTCATTAGTAGATATATATATATGCTAAGATTATTGTAGTAGACTATATGTACACTTGTACAAGGCAATCTTACCACTATTAATCTAACACTGGTGGTAGCTTTATAGGTTTCTGTGCTGGGCCAAATACACCCTAGTACAAAGCAATCTTACCACTATTAATTTAACACTGGTGGTAGCTTTATAGGCTTCTGTGCTTGTGTTGTGGTTGTTGGACTACCGTATTTTCTTGAGTATAGTGCGCACTTTTTTTCCAAAAAACACAGCTGTGTAGAAGGGGGTGCGCATTATACACGAATTATGAGTTTAGATGTTTTTTTCCCCCATGGAAAGACATTACCGTGAGCACGTAACACCGGAAATACCATGTCAACAAATCCATAATGAAGTACGCAAAATAATCATGTAATTACACTGTCTGGCTATAAAAAGTGTTCTTTGTATATCTGGACTTATGTTTGTAACTTATTTCATTAATTTTATTCAAAATTCCTTTTAATATTGATTTTATTAATTTCGGCGCAATCGTGTGTGAAGCGATCGGAAGATCGCACAACTCACCGTTATTAACAGCAACCACGGTCAGAATACCGCTATTGACGCCTTGAAACGAACTTTAGTTGACAGAGAATGAATACATATATCATAAATGACATACTTTGACTCGTTAAAAGTCATATTTGTTTTTGTTTGACGATTCTATGTCAACATGAAATTCTCGCGATCACGCGATCATGTGCGCGTGAGCCTTGACGGTGACTGGTCAGATTGGTTCCATGTAAAAAATAACACCCGGGAATAGCGATCAGCTGCTTCGCTTAGGGTTATCATTATTTTAAATATGTTTAGTAAAGGCTGCATATAATTAAGAAAACAATGGAATATATTATTCCTGATAAAAAAAATAGTTTCAGATACAATTTGTGCCGATCTTTGCATTAAAAATCCTATAAAGTTATATCATTGGGTGTGTCTTGACCGAATCACCGGAAAACGTGTGTACAGCTGATTGCTGTTTCCGGCTTAGTTTACGAGACAATACACAAGGTAATCTTAATCCCTGGATATAAAACAATGCCTAGCAGAACAATAAATACTATTTAATCGGTAAATAAACATGTCTGGTGATTTTTTATCTCAAATTTCGAATATGTACTGACGAAGTTTCTCATCACCCGTTCGTTTGACGGACTTCGCTGAAAGGGTACGGTGTAATTTTTTCTGCGCATAATATTCAAATTTATTTTTTTTCAAAATATTGAACCCGCTAGAGGGGGGTGCGCATTATACACGGGTGCGCACTATACTCAAGAAAATACGGTACATACACATTTGCACAAAGCTATTGTACCAGTATTAATGATGCAGCGCCCAGCATGCGCTAACACTGACTGCTGCCATGATGTTGGTGTGTTGGGCTAAGTACAGGCAAGTACAAAGGCATCAAACCACAATAAATAATGCAGCACCTACCAAGCTGTTCTGTGTTAAGATTGGCTCTGAGTACTATATATACTCATAACTTATTGAAACATTCTTGTGTTTGTAATTTAATATAAATGTTAAGCAAACAAAAATCTATCACACTAACATCTTCCCAAACAGACCATTTCATGTTTCAGCTAAATAAACACGTCAGTAGTAAAAAAATGGATCCTTGACATCCTGACAATCAGATTAACATGGTAAGAATCAATAAAAAACATATCCTCAAGTTGCCACAAATGCCCCACTCAAGTCACAGAGTGGGTTTAGGCCAAAGTAAAATAAAAATAATGTTTGACTGTACTCCAACTGCCAATCAAAAATGATTTCATGACAGCACTTTAATTATATTTTGACAAAATTGATACATTTTGATAAGTAGGTAAATGAATTGTTTGATAGGCATTACTTACAAGTTGACAGATGACAAAGTAGAGATAATTCATGGATGACATCGTCTTTATTTACTCTAAAGGCAACGTTTCGGTTTAGATCCTTGCTTGACAACAGTATAAGGATCTATACTGAAACATCGCCTTTAGAGTAAATAAAGAAGTTGTTATCCATGAATTAGCTCTACTTTGTGTAGGGAAATGAAAACAATCACACAAGAAATCTGACTTCAATATAATTATTCTTGAGGTCTGAGTTAGTCTTCTCATTTGCCAACAGTGTTGATGGTATCATTGCATTATGGAACTCTATCGATTTGTCTATAATGCAAGTAAAAATTGATCGTAAAAAAATATATAAAAAAACTACCTTTAGTAAAATACTGTTATAACGAACTCAAAGGGACCACTAATTTTTGTTTGTATAACCGTAGTTTGTTATAATCATATATACAACAAATGGCTGGGACTAAAAAATATGTTCATTATATCGGTCAGTTTGTTATAAGCGTGTTCATAGGAACATAGTTGACTGTACCTCTTTCAACACTGACAAGAAATGTGTGGACAAACATATATATTTTCAAGGGGAGCCTTGCAGCGTTTATGTAAACTTCATTATGTATATATTATAGATGATACGAAGCTACCAGACATCTAACCTTTCTGATGACACCCAAACACAACACCTAACTGGTGGCTGTCTTCGGCAGATTGTAGAAGTACTCAGTCAACTTCCACTTTGAATCACATAAACATTCTGATAGATGTTAAGAGACCTCTGTAATCCCTTAATGAAGTTTTAATCTACTTGTACATACTCTCTAGGGCTTCCCATGCATCCTGCAGCATCCCAGGTCTCCCCATTACCCGGTGCATGACAAATGGAATATTGCGGTGTAGGTTCGGAGTGGCAGGGAGTAAAGGGCCATTTGGGCCCTTGATGGGAGTGATGAGGCCTTTTATGCCCCTGTGTCATTACTTCAATCGGTTTTTGTGTGGAAGGAAACTGTAGGTGCAGGGCATACACATTTACCACTTTGGTGAAACTTGTGACCAGTGGAATCGAGGTGACAAAGTGAGTGAGTGAGTTGGGTTTAACGCCGCTTTTAACAGTATTCCTGTTATATCAAGACGTGTCAGCTTAATGTGGGAGGAAAGTGATGCAGGTCTCAGATGTTTACCACTTCAGTGAAACCCACGAGCACGGGTATGGTGCTGACAAACCTAGAAACATAATCAGGGCGAACTGGAATTAAAACCCATGATCATAGGTTTCTGGCGTGCCCAAGGGATGCAACTCTGCACAGCGAATCTCTGCACCTCAGATGAATGGGCACCGGTGACAAAGTGTCTCCATGTGTAAAAATT